TATTTTAAGTGTTATCATGACCTTTCCCTATCATAGGTCATCAATGGTCAAATTAACTTTTAGTCTTTTAGACTTTTAGAGGTCCTTAGTCTTTTTAGTTTGTCAAAGTCGTATTCATTGACTTGTACCTAGAATATGAATGGTTCAATTGATCAAGAGCTATGAGTTAAAACTGATTAATACATTTGTCAGGGTTAGAGTCATTCTATGCAATTGAAAAGTAATGGACTGTTCCATCCTTTGAGTATGATGTTATCTCATGCTGGTGTGATTTGCATACTTGTTATGACTTGGATTGAGTTATATGAACTCATTTATCATAAAACAACCCTTCACTATTATCTCTCATAATACCTCTAAATCATCTTCATATTCATGGCCTTAATTGAGAAGGAGGGAGGGGTTACAAACAGAGGGCAATGCCAGTTTGTACCAGAGCAAGGACACTGATCAGCACCAAGTGAAGGCAACGGCCGTAACCTTCGCATCTAAGATGGCAGACAGTAATTGTCGATTTAGATATTTTTTTTATTTTCATTGAATTAAACTACTTTAGAGTTGACTTATGCTTTGACATTTGTACCAAATCGGGCTTAAATGACAGTGGAACTATGGAGTATGATAATTTTTTCATATATCGTGCATGAGCGCCACATTTCAACGATATCTCACTCTGCTTTAAAAGGGAAGGTAATACTAACTAGTAAAGGGGATGCAGTAAACATAAATAAATGATAGGTGAAATGTTATGCCCTGCCTTAATACATACATGTAACTAAGATTTCTTATTTTCTCGGACAAATGGTGTTTCACAATTGACTAACTGATTCTATTATCAATACATCAACATCAGGTAATGCATGATCTATCCAATGGATTAAAGATAATACTTGATTCTAATATGGCAAAATAAATCATTCCATGTATGAATTGCATAGTGCCTCATTTTGCAGATATTATATGATGCATTCATTGACTCATGGTTAACAAGGTACGGGTATAACTCCTTTTAGTATTTTGCAATACACATTTCCAAAATGCTGTACCTTCAGTGATTCCTTCAATATGGATAGTGGTTTGTTATGTTGAAACTTAAAATAATATCTAAACAAATCTGTTTAGTGTATAAGAACAATAAAAGTAAATATGTTTAATATCAATTATTATAAGACATATGAATATAACCTAAAATAAGAAATCTTGTTTTCGTATTCCATTTTAAAATTGGTTGAATGATTTTAACACAGTAGAAATGATGACAGTCATAATTTATAACTTATACCTAAGTAACTTAATATTATATGTAATATGCCCTGATGCTGTAACATAAATGGTCCTTTATAATCAGGTATGACTGAAATTGGACAAGATCTTATAATGTTACAGTTTCCATATAACGTATGTTCCATATTACTACCCCAAATGTCCATACCAGTAGTTAAGTTTATGAGTCATAATCCCTCATAGTTTATGATGGCAAATGCCTATCCTTGTCTAGAATATGTCATTTTATCAATTTTATGAAATGATTGTTACATAAACAAGTATACAATTACATGCCCCCCACACTAAAACTCCATTTTCTTTATCAATCTTTCTACTTCTGTTAATATTCTCTGTCCGGATTCCCCAAGTCTACATACTGTCAAGTAAACATCTAAATAGGATAGTTCTAGCTATTGCTGTTGTTTTGAAATGTTGACTTCTCTTGGGGAAAAATTGTTTCAATTCTGACAGAAGTTTTTAGCCAATATCATTGAATTTATCAATATCCAAAAGCAGAGTTTCGAAATGCACTTTGTTTGTGCCTGTATTTTCATATTTTTTACGAGAATCAGAATCTTATTCTACAAAACGGGTGTTCATGGAAGTAGCACTAATTATTACATCATTGCTATTAATCGTGTGATTTGATTGGCTAATTCAGTGCCATGGGACTAAAAATACCATAACGTATTTCACAGCTCCCTGAATTATTGGCATATAAAATATGTATCCCTTATTGCCCTGCGTATTGCCCGCCTGGGGATTCTAACAACTGCACCTTCAATGATTTTTGCAATATGTATTGCCCACAGCCCGTAGGTATTGCCCTCCATAGAATGAAATATTTGCTTAATATTTAATACTGTTTCGGGCTAAATATCAATTTTGTTATAAACTGAGCAAAACGCCACCTTTAACATGCAGCTAATTCTCCCATCTAACCAACAGAGCCTCTTTTAACATATCAAAATTTAAAAATTGCCACTGATTCAATTTATTCAATCAAATCTAAAATGGTAATACCTTTTTACTGCTTCGAACTTCCTTATATTTTATACCATAGGAGTAGGATGTTTGTCTCTTTCAATTGATGCTTTCACCAGAAACATGGATATCACTAATTTTGATTCATATTTAAAATGGTATGCATGAATAGACCTGTGTATTTTATACCAAATAGAGACACTTCCCTGGAGAGTTCTAAATCTCTCTATGTAAACAGCCTAGTTTCCCACATCCCTTGTTGACTTTGCTCCCATATTTCCTGTGAAGCTGTGGAACAGTTCTCTTGTTCTTCACAATATTCCATTTTACTGTAAATCAATGAATAAGGCCAATTCATATCACTGGCTTCCCTAGGTCATTTAAATGCCTTGCATTTTTTAATCAGCAATAAAGAATAATGGGTTAAATTATCAAATAATGAAAAAGTTGCAAATGATGAGATTTGCTATATAGCTTTAAAATTTTGCTGAAGTATAGTTTAACTATAGGTTAACAGGCTAATTTCTCATTGACACAATTTTAAAGAATCTTAAACATTGACTTATTGTTTCAGTTCATATATACTTTTTCTTTTTGGGCATGACACACACCTATTGTTCTATTTTCAACAGGTGTGTGTGTGTGGTGGTCATGCCATATTTTATTTGATTTAAAATACATAAATATGAAATCTAAAAAATAAAAGTTCGCTACAGGCGAACGTATGCACCAACAAGAACTTATATTGTTATGTTTGATTAATAATCAATAGGTGGTAAACATAAAGGTGCATTATGTTTTAGCTTGCCTTGAAACATAATGTATTTTATGTGAGCCAATAGGATTCAAGCTTCTGTTTTGGTAGAGGCTGAAGGGAGTAGCCCACTATCAGATATCGTCAGTTTGATCAACTATCTATACAGATACATGCTGTACAGGATACTTATGTAAACTGGATATTACTGCAAATACCCTCCTCCACCCCAGCACCTGCTATTTCAAATTCTTTGAAAGAATCTACTGCTATCTTGTCCTCACTTATTGTTTAAGTATCCCCTTACGAGGGTGAACATATACTCTTAAAGTATGGTGGTGGTCATGCCATCTTTTATTTGATTTAAAATACAAAAATATGAAATCTAAAAAATAAAAGTTCGCTACAGGCGAACCTATGCACCAACAAGAACTTATATTGTTATGTTTGATTAATAATCAATAGGTGGTAAACATAAATACACAATCTGAACAACATCCAGTCTCAAACACAATCTGATTATCATCAAGTTTCAAACACAATCTGAACATCATCAAACTCATTGCAAATGCAGGTTTACTTTAATCCAACAGAATGAATATGGTAAATCAATAGACTAAGTGAAATATGTCAAGTCAATGGTAAACACTAGTATCTAGCCCAACTAGCACAAGTGCTGCCATCTACCTACTAGTATCAATCCATCTATCCATATACATAGCACCTAATGAGGTCACTACTTCAAGTAAAGGTTTTTCCCCTGTCTATGGTAAAAAATAAATGAAACAGAAAAGTTAGTTTGACACCATTGGTGATGCCCACCTTCTATGGTATAGGGATAAAAGGAAGGTTCATGATAACACTTACATAAAATATCTTAAGTATCTAATAATGATAATGAACATATTACAATGTTACACAATGTTAGTAGATGATAATTAAATGTCAATTGTTGTTAGTGTAATATTTATTTTTCGCTTAATGCTGCAACAATTACGCAAGTACCAAAAAGTGCCACGCCCACTTTTCCCTAAAAGTAGTTGTGTGTGACTATATTTGATAAATATTATTGATTTATTGGAGCATTATATCAACTTTTTAGTGCTTTAGTGTGAATATATACATATTTATACAACTTTTGACAAAGTAGTAGCCACAAATTCCTAACAAATTTGCAAATATTTCACTTTGAGAGCGAAGGGAAATATTTGGGAGGAGGTCAAATTGAGAAGATTTTGAGATATAAATACTATTTCCATGGTAACCATATAAGTTAGAGATTGGAAATTTCTGGCACTGACTAACCATGGTATGCCCTGCCTACTAAAAAACTATGAATGTATGACATGCATTAGTATTCTTTTTATTAGGTGGTATTAAAGTACCCCCAAGGTTTTCTTGGGGTGGGGGTATAAATTGACCTGAGAGACGTCTGCCACCCCTACATGAAGTCCAACTACCCAGAAAGTGCCCAGCATAATCATACAGACTGTTTGGAATATGTTGGAATGTGTGACCTTCCATGAAAAGCAGAAGTTGCAATTATCAGAGTAGTCCACAGTCTACCAAGGGACATTTCATTCATACTGAAGTCATGACAATACATGTTGAAGAAAAAATTAGAAATTGATGGCCAAATGAAAACCAATACTCATAGCCTCAAAAACAGTTGTAGATACAATTACTCATACAAGATAGAGCACGCTAATCTTTAACATGTTCATCATTTAAACATGTTCATTCTCGATGGGGCCACATGGGAGTCCAATCGAGTTCAACGAGGTCCCACGCAATTTTGAGTCTATGGAGGTCCAAACATGTCCCGTTGGTGTATGTTGGGTCAAAGACACCCGATGTTGTTTATTTGAGCACTGAAAAGAAAAATTAAATTCCAAACAATTTTCTCGAGTGATTACAAAATAAAGGTCAATTGGCGAATATGTTTTAGAATTTATTTCTAAATGAACTGAAAGTTATTCCTTGTCTGTTTTTATAGGCTAACTCACTGTTTCTCAGCTGGATGGGTCCTGGTACCATTTAGTAGCATTCAAAATGGCACACATGGGACATTTACAATCAAAAAAGTAGAGTCAATATTCTCCGCAACGTTTATCTAGAAACCACACTCCTCGACAAAAAATGCATGAACAATTTTCTTGCAATCCGTCGCAAACAAATGTCCCTAGTCAGTCTGATGGGAATTCTCATCAACAAAACATACAGGGACAATTTACTGTTAACCAATCTCCAAAGAAATATGCACCTGGGCAAATCCAGTGTTGTTCCCAAGCGGGATATACACAAGAACAATTCAAAGATAATCCTCAGAATGCACAATTTGCTGGTAATTCTCCTCCGCAAGAAAACCTACCAAGAATCGAGTGTCATCATCCACCAGGATGTATACACAAACAATATCTGGATAATCCTTCTAAGGGAAGTGCTTCTGGACAGTTTGATGGCAATTTAAATCAACAAAACGTACCCAAACAATTCGCTTATAATCCCCCTCCACAAGGAAACGTACCCGAACAAAGCCAGTGTTATCCCCCTCAAGGATACATGCACAGACCCGCCCTACCACATCAACAACAAGAAAACATGTCCGGGTATCAACATGGACACATTCCAGGAAATCCATCAAAAGGAATTGTAACTAAACAATTCGAGAACAATTTGCAGCAACTAAACTTACCTGGACAATTCGCTGGTAATCCCCTTACACGAGAACACTTATTTGGAGAGCTTCAGTTTTATCCTCAATCAGGATATACACGTGAACAATTCTCAGGTAATCCTTCAAAGGGAAATCCAGCTGAACAATTATATGGTTATTCGCAACAAGGAAACATACATGGACAATATGCCGGGTATCCCTTTACACAAGGAAACATAGCTGAACAAATCAAGCTATATCCTCAAAAGTCGTATATGCACGAGCAATATCCGGGTAATCCTCCTAGGGGTAGAGCAGCTGTACAATTAGATGGCAATTTGCAACAACAAAACTTCCTTGGACAATTTGCTTGCAATCTGCCACCACAAGAAAACAAATCTGGACAATTTGAGTGTCATAATCATCCTGGGTATATATATGAAGAGTTTCCGGGTAAAGTTGACGGTAATCTTTCAAAGGGAAATACATCTGAGCATGTATATGGCAATTCCCAACAACACAACGTGGCTAAACAAATCGAAAGCATTCCCCCTCCACAAGGAAGGATACTTGGACAAGTCCAGTTTTATCCCCCTCGAGGATACATAAACAGACCAGGCACGGGATATCCTTCACATGAGCAATCAGCTGGTTATCCCCCGCAAGAATACATCGACGGGACATTTCCTGAATACCCATCTAGAGACAGAGAGGTTCATTTCCAAGACAAGATGTGCAAAGATGATAAAAGGGCAGAGCAAACAGCATATCTGCACGAGGCACCTCTATCAGGGCAAAAGGCATCAGGTATCGCATCTGCTCGACCACACTGTGCACCACAAACGGAAGAGACTCCAACACGAAGGGTATCAAACCAGCCCGCCTATTGTCAGACCCAAGAAATGCCCCATGTCGAACACCAAAGTCCAGAAAATAATTCTCCTGGGCAAATGGCTCCACCTGTAAAGGCTTCTAGCCAGATGTACACTAACAGCTACCAAGAAAATATCATTGGAGGAATTACAAGAACCGATACCCAGCAATACCCATATTTTCCACATAGCTCTGGTAATCACCAAAATAGTCAATCGTACTATGGAAAAGAACTGGGGCCTCCTCCAATTGGTTTCCAATTGCCTGTTATGGGGAGAATTGGTACGGATTCATTACAACACGGATCTCGAAACTGTGAATTGGATGTAAGTATTACATTTTTTCCAATAAATATATATTAAATATATATTAAAAAGTCACAGTTTCAACATTTTGTTGTAGTCTCAAACCTTTTGTTGACAGTTTGTAAGAATAACTTATGTTTTTGTATTACAAACTTCCCATGATTTTGGTCTTAGACAGGATGTTAAACATGTCAATCGGCAGTTATCCGAATGTATTATTAAATTACATTTGTTTTCATATAGAACACCAGAGAAAGGGTGGAATGTACATGCTTGTCAGAGCCCGGACATGATAGCAATCGAGGTCAATATATAGAAGAGCGCACGCATGAAGGCTCAAACATCAGTAAAAGAGTTCCGAGTGGACAGACCAATACCCACCTTAAAATTGAGATAACGGGTTTTAACAAGATAACGCTACTCAGTACGATCAAGCGTTTCTTTCAAAACGAAAAGAAGACAGGTGCACAAGCAGTTAACACAGAATACAACCAAAATGATAACATTGCTCTGGTTGAATATGCCGAGGCGGATGGTAAGTGATACATATATTGCAGTACTGATTCGGTGTAAGTATATAGATGCATATAGTGCAATCATTACGTCTGTTAATAATTTCCAATGTCGAATAAGAACGTTTTTCTAGGTATGCTAATTCTGCATGACAATCAACATGTAAATAAACATAATCACATATCAGTATGTCCTACCTGTTGTATCTCTATTGTTATATTAGCTTTAGAAGCGGTTCTTCAAAAACATAATGATACTCCGTTTTAGCTCGATGATTGCGAATTGAAGATACGTAAGAGCATACCAGGGGTCACTGAAAAAGAAATAATTAGCCAGAAACATCACGTTAAAGATCTCGATGATTGTCCAAAGTATATGCTTGAAGTGTCGGGATTTGGTAAGCAAACGTCAGTTGGTGTGATCGAGCGTTTCTTTCAAAGCGACGACAAGACTGGTGCAAAAGCAGTTAACGTGAAATACAACAGGTTGACTGCATTGGTGGAATATGCCGATGCTGTTGGTACGTATATACCTTAAAACCACACTCAGTTACCAATACAATATAATGAACTGTGTTTATTTTTAAGAAATACAAGCTATAAGAAAGAGGGGTGTATTATTTTTCAATTGTTTTTCAAGCATGTGCACTTCGCAGGCTTTCAGAAACCAATGTGGCACAGAAGACTTTTGACTATCATATGATGTGCACCAAAGCTGAACCAATTATACCCTGTTCACTCTTTCAATAGTTGAATAGTAAACATAAAAGAAACAAACTTAACATTATACCTGCCCTAATGAATGCAGTACATTGAAGCTGGACTTATTACAGCTACTCACTTCACAATACACTTACCTGATAGTGAATACAAAATAAATCAATTTTTCCTAAAATTGGATCATGGTCTATTTACTTTTGATAAGAGTCAGTGCCTCAATGTGTGGTTTAAGCAAGATAAACAATTCGTCTTCGGTTTCGGGAAAAATGATGGGCGAAGCCCCATACCCATTATTTTTCCTAACAACCACGACGATTTGTTGATCCATTACATAAAAATCAGGTTCCGTGTATGTATACGTAAGTAGTACTAAATTATTGTAACTATACGCGAAGATGGTAAAAATACAACCGCGTATCGTTAATGAAGTGATTCGATATTTTTGATAGGCGATGGAGGAAACTCATGTAGAACCGAAACCTCGCCATAATACATACATATACATGTTTCAGTGACTAGAAAGCAAAAATCAACATTTATAACATGGAAAATATCAAACAATTGTACCATTCTTTGGCATACGTTATTTAGAAGAAATTTCCGCTGTGTATAACAGGATTATGCTACTTTCAATATGACACACGAATTCTGCGAATAAGAAAGGATATTTTCACCAGTCGCTGCTTTGTTTCCAGATGTATCATATTGACTGGTTATTTTTTTCAAAAATAGATGTACGAGTCAAGAAGGAGGAATACGGCAGTAAAATCAGAATAGTTCGTGCTCATTTATGTACCTTAAAGATGTCTTAAATCGTCCCTTTTCAGTAGCATTTTCCCAGATTTGCATAATGTTACATTTTGTTTACCCTACATTCAGTGTTTGTAATCATAGATTTAGAAAAAGTTCTGAACAAACACAAGGCGACGCCGTTTAAGCTTGAAAATGAGGAATTAACTGTTCGCAATATCAGCATTGGTGGGAACTCTGAAGAGGACTACAAAAGTTGTAAAAGGAAGACAAATGTCATCGACAAGGCAAATGACTTTTTGTCAAACGATACGTTACAAGACGATATGCCAGGTGTGAATCCATACGAGGTGAATTTCAAAATTACCATTCCTAAATTGTCTTGTCATAAGTTGATACAAGATCATTTCCATGAAAACAGAATCGTTAAACCAATTTATTTACAGCATATTGTGCATTATAATATAATAAAGGCACCACTAAGAGGATCTTAAGAGGTTCTGGACAAATCATTTGATTCTGGACTTGTCATATTTTTTTTTCAACGAAATCACATCCAGGGGTTGAATTTTTATTAGCTATTTAGAGAGTGTGTCCTGCCTAGTATTAATTTCAATAAAAAAAGTTAAAATAGAACCCTATTTGAGAGTCAATCTAATACTTACATTACATTGATAAATTAAGGCAAATCCTGAAATATTTTTAAAGTGCGTTTTTTAATGAAATATTATCCAGCAAGTGTTTAAATGAAACGGTCTTATTTAAATACAAATCATAACATGATATTTTTCATGAAACATTTTTCAATGAAATTCAATTGAAGGGTCAAGATAAAACGAGCTAATTTAGGTGAAAACCCTTACATGATGATGTGTTTTCATAACTTCTTTCATAAAATTCCATCAAGGGGTGAAGATAAAATGATCGAATTTAAGTGATTTAAGGATCACGAGAATATGTTTTCTTTGATATTTTCTATGAAATCCCATCCAATGGTCAGGGTAAAATTTTGATTTTGATTTTGATTTGGTCACGTGTTCGAAAGATCCATATAAGGCCCATAGAACCATATAGGAACGTCATTTTGAATGTCACGTGATGGATCCATATAAGGCTTTTAGAACCATTTATGGAAAGATGAGGGAAGCCCCTGACACCTGTTTCACGATTTTTATGCACTTCATTATTGTACCGAAGTTTGCCGATTCGATTCGTCGTATTTCGGAATCCTGGTGACAATTTTATACTCCATTGGAGTATTTTTGACCTACTTCTTATGACGGAAATTCCCGAACCTTGTTCGGATTAATCCGGATTTTCTGACCTACTTTATCTACCGAGATTTCACGAGTTAACATTCGTCTCATTCCGGAATCCTGGTGACAATTTTATACTCCATTGGAGTATTTTTGATCTACTTTTTCTGGATTTTGCCCTACTTATTATATCTTGACAACAAGCAAATCAAAAAGTTCGACATGAACGGGTCTCGATCAACTAACCTAGACTATGGAAGCCAGGCACGCTAACCATGAGGCCAACGAGCTACCGATATGAAAGAACAAAAGTATTATATATTTATACCGAGCGTCAATTCAAAATGATCCTCACTTTTGTATCCACTTAAATACGACTCGTCAGTTGTATCCAGAATAGTAGAACGCCTATGGCGCTAGTGAATAACCAAGTCCCAGGTGAGTGGTTCGTATCCCTCCGTGATATACTATTTTTGTTTTATTAAATACGACAGAAAGGAGCAAGGTGTAGGTTGAAAACAAGACGTTAGTTTGTTTCAAAACAGTTTGGAAACATTTAAATCTCTGGAACATTATTTTTTCAACACTGATACAAATTTCCCTGACATTTCCCTGAAATGTCTACCGTTTCAAAATTCCCGGTCATCTTTGGCCCTTTTGACCTAATTTTAAAATTACCTGACATTTCCAGCACTTGGAAAATCAAGTCAATTTCCCTGACATTTCCAGGTGTGTATGAACCCTGGAAATATCCCACTGGCTCGCCCTATGAATCGCTAGCACAGATTGGATTGATTAGTGTTTCAAAATGGTGGACGAAGTGTTTGATTAGATAATTTACATATTAAGCTTCTTAAAGGGGCAACAAGGCCTGTACATAGAAAAATCGAAATTTTTTACATTTTCTGAATTTTTAGGGCAACATTTGGCTTTAACATCTTTTTTTATACATTTTTTCTTAAAATGTATGGATAAACAATAAAATTTCAGCATTAAGCACTGCAAATTCAGTTCAAAGCTTCTTTAAAGGGAGTCCAACTTATAGATTTTGAAAATCCGACTCGTTTAAAGAAGAATATCAGCAGCTTAAATCACGCCTTGTGATCATACAAAATGGATGGAGGGGGGGGTAGGCGATTTCTGCAAGAAAACTCAACAAATTTGGAAGATTTATTTTTTTCAAGATAAAATTTACAACTGAATTGCCAAATGAATAGGCGCAGTGCATGGCAAAATATGTAAGGTCTTCTAGTATTTTTTGAACTGATACGCTTCTAAGATATGAGATCTATTATGAAAGGCGCATCATCATCATCATCATCATCAACGTGCAAAAGTCAATGTTTTTGCTATAAATCAGGCAACAATGGTCTACACGACCTGTAATAAATAGGTATGAGGGGCGTTATTAGAGAATTTTCGTTATAAGTTTTTTAAAAACTTATACGTATACTTATACTTATAAACCCAATAAACAAGGTGTTTCATAATTTCCTAATTCGTCGGGAAATATCTCCTAGGACGGTAATAAAAAGGGCCAATGGCATACCATCCGTACCCCCTTGATGTAAAGCATGTTTAGTTGTGTCATATGTGTTTTCTAGAATCAAATAGGCTGATATAGCACACGGGTTTTACAGATTTATCTACTCTCAAATATATTTTTTGTAGATGATCGTTTTGAATCACCTTGTAGAAATAACGAAGGGAGAATTAGTTCAGCTAATGAATGAGTCGAGCTATTTGATTGGATACTATGCCTATTCAGCCGATTAATTTTAATAAGCCATTCTGGTCAGTAGGTCCACACATATACTATGCGGAGATCCAACTCTGTAAGTTTATAATCTGCGTATAAAGGCCCTTTTATACGCAAAAACTTAAAAATTGACCTTATAATTTCATGAGAACTTTGAAATGATCGACTCGTTCGTGTAGTGATTCACTTTAAAGGGTCTTGTTTATCGTACACTACAACGAACCGTCAACTAGAATTTAGTTTATCGTGTTCATAATTGACACTAGCAAAGGACATTGTATTCGCAGTCCCTAGTTGATGATGAAGCTTGACTATATCGGGAATAGTTATGTTCCACTTGGTACAGATTATGAAAATCAATTTAAATTGATTTTAGTTCGACAAGACCCTTTAAACTATAAGTATACGTATAAGTTTTTGAAACAACTTATAACGAAAATTCTCTATTATCACAACACTGACATTGCTCACTTTTTAAAGTTGTTTCATAGCGTTATATGTAAATGGGCGTGTGGAAGGCCCGTGGGTGGCAATAAAATAACTCGAACTTCAAATTAAAATATATATAAAAAAGTATATTTCAAACTTCAATGTTTAAAATACAATGCTCTGTAATGTACAACATGAACTCTTACAGCAACTACTGACAAGCCAACACCCAATGCAAACTCAGCTACACGTGAGTGAGAAAGACCATATAGGGGAACAATAGATATATAAAACTGACACAGTTTGCATAGTTGAATAACTCAAGGTGAAAAGTGAACATGGTATTAAAAGAGTAAAACTGCAAACAACCTACTTAGGGACCTGTTATATTGAGATGAATAGGGATTGATTAATATGAACAGTAATAATATAAAATGACTGTGAAAATGACCATGTTACATATACAAAAAATAACCCCATTGTTACAAAATCACAAAAAGTGAAATATCTATTCTTGTATTGCATTTTCGTTCACTGGACATATTTTAATTGCATTGCTATTAGATACATTTTAAGGGTGATATGAAAATTGAACCACGAAAACAGATGTACTTTAAGTTAAAGGAACTTTCTACCATACCCGCCATGCTATCTGACCCGAACGAGCCACCTTGTGGTGAGATTGGTAACTACCTGCTCGCATCTGCGTTATTACGCAGAGACATAAACGTATACACAAGGAAACGATAGGAGATAACCTATTTTATCTCTGTATACATTTTAACTTTAATACATCGTTGAATCGAATTTGTCCAAAGGTCTTGAAACGTAAAATACCTAAATATTTATCTTAGACCTTGGGATGACCTTGTACAAGAAACATTAATGTTGACCTCGGTTCATCTAATCATAATTCGCCAAGGGCCATAGTATCATCAAACGCCAAATACCTAGACATTGATCGTTTACTTGGATTTAAATAAGGAGTATGATTTTAAAATTAGCTAGGTCGTGGTTAAGCAACAATAGTATGTTCGAAATACCGCTGTGTAATGCCTGGATCACATTTGCTGCGAGTATTTTGTTCAAAATTGAATACATTTCTGAACACAATACTCAATCGGCCGGGCGCCGTAGTGAAAATCGGAGCAAATGTGACCAAGACATAAAACAATTGAATAATACTGTATCAGTTTCACATTTACAGCGGTCAAAAGCATTTACAAAAAAAAAAACGCCAGAGTTGGCAATCATATAAAATGAAACCAATCCCGCTGTGATTCATAGAAATAACTAATTTACTGCATTGAGTTCAATGTTATAACCATGTCGATTTACATGAGTGTCCGATTCATTGTACCAAATTTAAACCTTGACTGTTCTCCAGAAAGCAATAAGCTGACATATATCATATTTTACATTTTAATACAACTGAAAAGATAATAAATGTTTTAATATAAAGTTGACGTAGTTATAAATGTTTTCAGTGTAAAATCAAAGCACAACCATATAATTAAAAACATTACGCTGGGATTCCAACTGGATACAACTGACGAGTTGTATTTAGGTGGCCTAAAGTGCTGCTTATTTTTTCGTGAAGCCACTCAGTAAAATTACGATTTCTCTCAACCCTGATGTTCAATCAACATCATTCGAGTATCTATATGTTCCTGACACGTTCGGGCATTCGGTTATGACAACGTCTACCCAATGTTTGCACGAGAAATTGACGTAATTCATGACTGAAATCGGGAAGACAAAAATATGTGATATTCTTTCAGAATTGTTTATAATAACTATTTACAAAAACGTTCCCGAGACACAATCCATTTAGGTAGGGTTTGTTTTAAAGTCGAAAAGCCCCAATAAGACAATACAAACCCAGATTAAACCCAGAAGAATGCAAATTTCATGTAATGATTTACGTTCATGTAAACAAGGAAAGTACATATAATCCCCATATAAAACACTGGCCTACGTGACATGTAAACACAGGTTCAAATTGAAATATAGATAAGGGTCTCTGGAACACTTTTGTAAATAGTTTTCACAAGCAATTTTATTCCCGGACGCCCAAACGTGTCAGGAACACATATATATTTGAATGATCTTGATTGGACATCAGGTTGCAGAGAAATCGTTTTTTTACTGAGTGGATTATTTAATATCATAGATCTAGAGGCCCTTCAGGAGTGGAAAACCTTAAATTGTCAGAGATTAATGTTTCCAAACTGTTTTGAAACAAACTAACGTCTTGTTTTCAACCTACACCTTGCTCCTTTCTGTCGTATTTAATAAAACAAAAATAGTATATCACGGAGGGATACGAACCACTCACCTGGGACTTGGTTATTCACTAGCGCCATAGGCGTTCTACTATTCTGGATACAACTGACGAGTCGTATTTAAGTGGAGACAAAAGTGAGGATCATTTTGAATTGACGCTCGGTATAAATATATAATACTTTTGTTCTTTCATATCGGTAGCTCGTTGGCCTAATGGTTAGCGTGCCTGGCTTCCATAGTCTAGGTTAGTTGATCGAGACCCGTTCATGTCGAACTTTTTGATTTGCTTGTTGTCAAGATATAATAAGTAGGGCAAAATCCAGAAAAAGTAGATCAAAAATACTCCAATGGAGTATAAAATTGTCACCAGGATTCCGGAATGAGACGAATGTTAACTCGTGAAATCTCGGTAGATAAGGTAGGTCAGAAAATCCGGATTAATCCGAACAAGGTTTCGGAATTTCCGTCATAAGAAGTAGGTCAAAAATACTCCAATGGAGTATAAAATTGTCACCAGGATTCCGAAATACGACGAATCGAATCGGCAAACTTCGGTACAATAATGAAGTGCATAAAAATCGTGAAACAGGTGTCAGGGGCTTCCCCTCATCTTTCCATAAATGGTTCTAAAAGCCTTATATGGATCTATCACGTGACATTCAAAATGACGTTCCTATATGGTTCTATGGGCCCTATATGGATCTTTCGAACACGTGACCAAATCAAAATCAAAATCAAAATTTTACCTTGACCATTGGATGGGATTTCATAGAAAATATCAAAGAAAACATATTCTCGTGATCCTTAAATCACTTAAATTCGATCATTTTATCTTCACCCCTTGATGGAATTTTATGAAAGAAGTTATGAAAACATATCATCGTGTAAGGGTTTTCACCTAAATTAGCTCGTTTTATCTTGACCCTTCAATTGAATTTCATTGAAAAATGTTTCATGAAAAATATCATGTTATGATTTGTATTTAAATAAGACCGTTTCATTTAAATACTTGCTGGATAATATTTCATAAAAAATGCACTTTAAAAATATTTCAGGATTTGCCTTAATTTATCAATGTAATGTAAGTATTAGATTGACTCTCAAATAGGGTTCTATTTTAACTTTTTTTATTGAAATTAATACTAGGCAGGACTCACTCTCTAAATAGCTAATAAAAATTCAACCCTTGGATGTGATTTCGTTGAAAAAAAAATATGACAAGTCCAGAATCAAATGATTTGTCCAGAACCTCTTAAGATCCTGTTCACTGCAATTAATTCTGCAGTGTTCTTTCCCGATTGCGGAATTCTACGAATCCAGAATTGTATGACGATAATTTAAGACCTAGATTTGTTCTGGATATTCCATTTAGGTCATTGTCAATGGCATCAACACAGACATTATGTGCCAAGAGTCCATAACAATGTTTTTACTATGGGCGAGTGGGGACAAAAATATGGTTACAGATGTTTTCCCTTGTGAGACGAATTCATCAATCCTTGTACGCTTTAAAAACATTATAGGTATGTAATATTATTATACTGCATGTCCAAACTATGTTTTTATTAAGGCAACTGTGTATACCAAAAGTGTCTTAATCCAAATGCGGTAAGGATGGGGAGAGGGCTTCGGATTTGTCCACTTTTCTGCCATTAACCTTTTTGCTACTGATAAAATCTGATGTGTTTTCATAGAATAAAAAATTGGTTTTATTTTCTTTCGTTTGATTATAAACCATACTTTCAAGCAAGACGTATTACAAGGTAAACTTTCATTGACTAAGATACAATGTTTTCAATATCACATTGCTTCGCACACTTATGAATGTGTATCGTGTTTTGATCCCGAAAACTAGTAGTCGGAAGGTCCGAAACATGTCTAAAAGATGTCTGCAAAATAATATAACCATATCTTTATTTGATTTGTAATATTTTCAATTTATAAAATATAGAACCAAAAAATGTGATTTATGCAATATTTAGATATGTACCAATAGATACATGCGGCACCTTTACTTAGAAGCAAAAGAGTTCATGAAAATTGATCAATACTGCAACTTCTGGTTCAAGTATGCTTATTTTCGAGCGGGTGCGAGACGCGAGTTCGCTGGCCGCAGTGGACTAAAATGTCATTTTCTCAGCCAATACTCAACCAAATTTCCCGAAATTTTAAACTCTATTATAACCTGTTGTATTTTCTAGTATATTCATTCAGAAAAATAAGTATTTAGTCAGTATTCTTGGTCCTAGATTGTGTTTGCGTCCCCTCTCCCATTTTATGACATTTTACTTCTTCAATCTTTCAACCAAATTACCTATTTTTGACCTCATTTGACCTAATTTTGGGGAAATTTGAATACACCTCCATTGAGAGTTTTGAATGACCTACAATATGGTAACTTACATTTTACTATACCTCTTTAACATTGAAAACCCTCGTTTGTGTTATTAGAAATACGTTGCCCACATAAGTGTTAATCTATCGCAATACTAACGATTATAGGTTGTTTTTGTCTCAGCAGCACAGCAGCATGACTGACTGAGGTTTCTTCCAGACTCCACTTGGATTCTTTGTATTGAGATTGTGTTATTTTTGTCATTAAACTACTTCTCCAGAAAGCGGTTTGTCATTGCCAAGCGGCTACAAATGTACTCTTGACGACTTTTTCAATACGTGTAGACATATTAACTACAAAGTTACTCTTTACTTAATTGACAGCAATATGGTCTAGAATTCACAGTCTATTTAGTGATTTACCAGTGTCTTGAGAAAGCCATTCGTGCATTCTAAAACACACTATGATCCCAAAGAGAGGGTTTGTTTCCATTATTAACAAATGTATCATACCCAGTTATTCCAGCTTAGCCTTGTTCAAAGAACAGTTTTAAAGGCCTATATGAATGTTTTATTTCTGCCTCTCTAGACTATGGTAAGATGGAATTGAACATTTCAAGGAGACGTCTGGAAGATGTCCGTCTTAACCTTGAACCGGTATATCTGACAAGAACAATTATGGTATGTATATATGATACTACTTCATGAATGTCAAGTAAAAAAATGTGGATATTTCTTTTTTAATTGGGAGAAATCGGGATTTTTAGAATAAATTTCGGGGTGATTATCGGGATTTTTCCTGAAAAATCGGGAGGAAATTTAGAGTTCTACGAAAGATATCGGAAGGAAAATTATTTCTGATCTAAATCACAAGCGGGTATCGAAAATGTGTCCACTTCGACGGAACATGCTATTTTCTGCACAATTTATTTTTTACTCACATGTTTCATTACACCAGAGAAAAGTATTTACTCCATGCAATGTATATATAATTTGTTGGTGATCTACATTTCTGTTTGAAGTCCAATAAATCTAGAGTAAATGCTTTTGAAAACGGCGTCAGAGTTTTATGCGCTAAAGTGAACCATTTCTTGCTTAACTTTTTAATGGTACGATAAAATGACATGGAAATATTTAAACATCTTTTCAGCATAACTCTGACGGTATTAATGAGATCTGGATGTGTTTGGTCTTTTTATTTTATTTTCAAAAAAAACTAATGTTTACATTTTTTGTCCGCAGTAACCGAGCAGTTTTAAATGTGAGATGCATTGATTTATAATACATTTTACAAAAACACGTTAGGGGAATGCTTGTCTTAATTGGAAAAGAGGTTTGACACGCTCGCTCATCTAAAGTGTAGTGAAAGATATATAATGAATCTTATTAGTACCTTCAGATTTATACTGAAAACAAATGTAAATATCATTGTGTCACTTTATCGTGGCATTAAAATGTTAATAAAGAAATGGAACATTTTAGGGCATGGTGCTCTTGAGTAGTTTTCAATAGTGTTTACACCTAGCGTCATTGGACTTCAAACAGAAGTAAAGGTTGCCACAGATGTTATACCCATTGCATGGAGTATTTTATCGTCTTTGGAGTATAACGAAATATCAGAGGTAAAAAATAAATTGTGAAGTTTTCTGAGTGTTTTTATGAAAAATAGCACGCGCTATCTTTGGATACCTGCCTGTGAAATACTGTAGTTAACAGATAAAAGAGCTTTACAAATGTATTTTGTTTTATCACAAAACCTATCGTAAACTTTCACTTTTGCGAGGGCATCATATTTAAAAGTCGGGATAGGAGTTTGAACGGAAATTTTCAATATCTGAAGTCTTTACTGAAAAATCTGGATGTCTCGTCAACAAATCGGGAGTTTTAAACACAAAGTTTGGGATGTTTTACGAAATTATCCGGATATTTTCTTGAAATAGTTTTTTTTGAAAATCTGGATTTGGCAAAAAAATCGGGAGGAGCAATAACAATTTCGGGATTTCTCCCGATTTAAATTCGGTATTTGACAGATGACTAATACACAGGGAGACGGTATGCGCACCCAAAAATGGTTGACATTTCTAATCTATAGCGATTCGTATATATAGCAAAATGCAGTCACAAAAGCAGCATATGTCATCGAGGGATCAGTGATCCTATATGCAGGGTGACCATATTAATATTTTGTATATCTGGTTATCGGTTTGATTCCTTGTGAATAGTATTCGATAGGTTCAAATGCGTAATTAAAAAATATATTGCACACACTCGGATTCAGTATACAAAAATCAGTGTATTTGTCTAGAATGTACTCGATTGAAAAGTAGAATTTGTGATTTATGTTTAAAATAAAAGAACGGCTACAAATTAAATGTATAAAATTGGTTATACGTATAAAAATTGGACTTTTATAAATAGGGGAACTTGCGCTGGTACAGTTCATGTCAGATTGATTATGATAAGGACATTTTCTAGATCAAGGAACTAGATGTTCCATAGTTATGAGTGATTCAAAGTCTCAGCACCATGTCTTCTTTAGGTCGATTGTATTAAAGCTGCACTTCTTGGGGAATACTATCAGAGAAAAGTTGCCTTTATTGGTTTCTGATACAATCATTCTAAAAAGCATATATTTGACATTCAGCTCAAACAATCAGAACCCATTTCTAGGTGGAAAATGTTCCAACATTTCTGGACAAAAACGACTTGAAGCAACACTTTCAAAGTAAAAAGAGTGGAGGTGGAAATATCGAAAGTAATGGTGTCGAGCTTAACAAAGAAAAGGAAAACGCACTGATTACATTTAAAACACACGAAGGTAAGTACATTATACAACAATATAGCAGGGGAGAGCATTTGAACAAAACTAAGAATATAAATGGACTGAAAACCTTATTTACTTTTTAAATACAAGAATCAGTATATTTATGCACTAAAAATATGCTGACTATTGAAGTTCAAATTTCACTGAAATCGTAAAATTCAGTATATCTTTGCACTGAAAATTCAACTGACTTTTTAAGTGCAATACGAGTCCGAAAATGTACTGGAAAATACTTGTATATATTTTTAAGCACAAACTTTACGATAAATAATAAACTGAAAACAAAACAAATTTCTCGGTACAGAGAGATCCAAGTTTATGATATCAAAGACATAAAAAATCTTAAAGCATCATTTTTATGGAGCATGTTATTGGCAATAGCCCGAACAGGAAAATATTTCTTTCATCACCATTTATACTCATTAATTTCTACAAGGTTCTTGTACTCTTCAAGCGTTTATTAGAAAATATACTTGATACACTGGCACAGCGAGCAATATATGGGAGGGTGCTTTTTTCTCACTCTTGTTTCCAATCGAAGTGTGTGTAATTCAAGACTTTATCGGGGAACTTTAAGACTTGGACATCATTTACTTGGATGGAAATATGAGAAATGTATTGTTTTCATTTGATATGGATTCAATCGTAGTCTAAGCCCTTATGGGGCATTTCAAATGTGTAACATTATTTGATCTAAGAGAAAAATAATTAGGAACAATAATAATCAAAATGTCTCTGAAACGAGTAAATCAATATATTTCTGGTTGTGATCATATCATATTTTTAGTTTGGTTGTGCAAGGAATCAAGTAATTATGAGTTTATTAATACAAAGTAGAAGTATGACCAAAATGCCAATAGTTCATTTTCATTTAATTATATATTACATTTTCAAGTTCATGTACATATTATTAAAGATATCAACCAGAGAATTGACGAAAAACATGATGTTTACATGAAAACTTTAAAGTGTTAATGTTTCATTGTAGCTTCTCTATTAGAATAATCCAGATCAATATAAACCAATTTAGCTTGATGAATTGAGACATTTGTTTTTTTTTCAATTCTCAATACATGAACAACTTGTTTTAATCCCTTAATAAGAATTATAACAGTAGTGTTTAATCAATTATTGAAATGACTAGGTGTACCTAAGGCAACCAATTGTCATAATCTCCTCAAAATGCCAAATTGCCCTGGTTATTGGAAACTCCTACATAAGCTATATTGTTCATAGTATTTTCTTAAGTTTGCTTAATTTTTAGATCAAAAAGGCAATTTATTTATCAGCTTTTTTTACTTAAACTTGTGCTTAAAAATCGATATATTTTCAGAACGTTTTTGTAGTCATTAAACGTGTTTTTAAAAGTCAAAAGTTTTTTAGTACATTTCAAAAATACAATTTTTCATTTCATAAGTATGTATTTGTACTGACATTACTGACAAATACACAAATAAACTGAAATAAAATAAATACATTTTCAGGACAAAACGATCCGTTCAATACAAATAATTGATAAAATCAAGAAATGTGTAAAATGGTTGTTCGAAAATATCAAAATAAGAAAATAATTTCGGTGAGCTTAGCTGTTCCAGGAAAAGAAAAATCTTGATTACATTTACATTACGTTTTATTCTTGGCCGACATAACATCGATACTTATCAGATCTTAAAATCATGCATCACGTGTTCCCCGTATTCGCCCATTCAAAAATTACATGAGGATAATATTTACATGTATCATGTATCTGGAATCATATGAATATCCATTCGTTTATTTGTAGAGATGAACAGTGTTTGTAGCAAAAAACACAGTCTAGGGACTGCAAATGTAATTGTGACACCATATTATACATACTTAGGAAAAGACGTTTCAAAAGATAAACATGCTAAAAATTATCAACATCCAGATGAAACACGGTACAAAAGATCAATACTGGGTACGTTTACATTGCCAAGGAATAGAATAAGTGCATGAAGACATTAATTAGATCGTTTAGACCGTGCATAGTTGTTTACAAGACTAACTTTTACTTTAGATACTAAAACTAACACAATCGAAGTTAGAGGCAACAACTTACAGAGTGAATTACTGAGTCCCTTCTTTAGAAACAAAAACAAATCTGGTGGTGACCAATCCGCAAGGTGCTGCATGATGTCCGAAAATGTTGCTCTCGTCACATTTGATACAGCTGAAGGTAAACATAATTCATTGTTCTTTACAAATTTTATTAAATGTATTTAATAATAACAGTGCATACAGAGTTGGATATTAATCTAATATGACGTTCATATATCATATTTTTCAAGTTGCCGAACGTGTTCTAAATAAACAAATAAGAAGAATTGGTTCTCAGATGGAACCAGTAGAAATCACAGCATCATCACCTCGGAAAATATCTCCCAATGAAAAAGATACCGATAAAAAATCAATTGGCATCAGAAATGTTCCATCCACTGTTACTAAAGATGGATTGGGATATTATTTGGAAGTTTTACACGGCCATTACAGAAACATACGTTACTGTCAAGAGCAAGGGAAAATTCTAGTGGAATTCGAAAGGGAAGTTAAAGGTAAATAACGTATAACATTTGAAAGATATTTAGGTCAAATACCGTTTTGTATATTTTGTCGGGTGTGTCGAGATACATAACATATCCTTCAACTCAAGGAAAGTATATTGGCTTTATAATATTAATTTTACTCTGAAATAGTATTTTTATTCCCAGTGAAACACAGTTCTTTTAAAATAGAAGTTAGTCAGCAGTTCAGTCGCACATTCTAAATATAAAGTAAAAAAATTAACAAGTGGTCTCAGTGGATAATAACAGGCCTCGAATATTTTGCAAGCTTCTATTAAGTCGCACGCCAATTTGAAATTGTCAAATTGAACCTAAAGTTGCATACAAAATCGCCTTGACTGTTGATAATGGCAGCCAATTGGGGATTTTTGGTCAAATTGTTTTCAAATTCAAAAGTCAATATCTTTGCAACTTGGCAAAATCCAGCTTATATCCCTCTCTGTTCTAGATATTATACAAATATTTAATTGTATTGAGGTGGATACCTGTGCTCCTTTCACAACCTGTGCACCTTTCACAAGCGATATTCCATGAAATCCGAAGGGCTTGTAGAATAACATCTTGTGGAAATGTCACATAGTTGGAATTCAACGTGCCAAGTATCAACATTAATGTTTTAAATATCTATCTTCAGCATGTATTGCAATCACTTCAGTATAATTTAAATCCCCCTTTGTTTTCTGGTTCTGGATTTTGATATTGCCTCTCGATTGGAGAAGGAAGGATGTTAGATTGTTTATTTCACGTCAGTTCATTGATTTTGGATATTGGGTCTATTTTTTATATGGCAGGTTAACCTTTCTTGCTAGTTCCTCAGTTTTGTTCCCATGCCGTTAGCACTTGTGCTTATATTTTTAAACCACTAAACAAGCAAAGCTATCAGAACGTAATTATGAAGTAAAAACGAGGTCGTTACTGACCGTTTACCAATTAAAAATTGGTAAAATGGATTCAACTTCGTAAACATCATCACATTATCCTCTGTATTGATGGCATAAACTTTCCACCTATAGGAAGATAATTAGTATCTAACGTTTTCTAGCACTGATTTTAAGTTGACTGAACAGTTTGGATTATATTCATTTGGTCACCTCATGGTCAATCCTAGTCCAAAGTTGAATGCTCGTAAACTTTTAAAATCATTTCATCTATTTATGTGCATTGAGTAGGTTCTGCCTTCCTGCAAAATCCATACTGGGTTCTTTTGAAATGTGTGCAAAATCTAGTCTCTGCAGAAATTTCGGGGTTGTTTTTACCTTGCAAACTTTTGAACGTTACATGTTATTTTTTAGATATTGATCATTTGAAGAAAAATGCTGCTCGTAACACCTTGGGGAATGCAAAAGTAACAATCGAATCGGTTCCTCCAATGAGAGCCGTCCAAGTGTACAACGTCTCAAGACAAACTACCATTGACTGCTTATATCTGTATTTTTCAATGAGTAACTTATGGGGAAGTGGAGGAGGCCATATAGAAAGAATAAAATTGAACCGGGAAGAGAACTATGCCATTATTCACTTCGTTGAGGAAACAGGTACCTTATTTTGAAGTTATGGTGGTTACAATCGTTTCTTTAATTTTATCAATATCAGTGCATTTACTAATTCATGGTGATAATGTACTCGGGCTTCTCCCTTGTGCAATCTATGTACGAGTTACATGTACATAGTTCCATGTTAATTATTATTCAGAAAATACTCAAACGTAAACAATGAAAATGAAAGCTGACAAGGCGGATGAAATTATTATGTTTTATTTAGAAAATGATTTGAATTCATATTTTCATTATGGCTGAGTACAGTAAAATCAAAAAGTAAAATCCCAACAAGTACTCATTCACCTTCATGATAATACGAAATGAATAAAAATTTTGAGATTAAGTCAATTCTATGAGGTGCGATTGACATACATTTGTCCAGGCACACAATTTTCATACTCAGCATTTCACATTGTAAGTATATAATAAATTAACATTGAGATTCTTACCTAATGAAAACAATATCATTCATCCGTGTAATTTAATCACCCAAGTTCATATTTAGTCTACGATCGCAATATCTAGTTCATCACTGGAGTATTTGATTATCCTTTGTTTTGTTTTCTTCACAAATCATGATACGTTTGTGTCTCTTTTGTCTGGGCGATTTGTAAACATCAAATGTATTTACAGTGGCAAAGCGTGTCATCACCAAATCACCACATGTGTTAAACGGCAATGAAATGAAAGCAAGGGCATTCTTTACGTTCCTTGGGCCCACTGATGAAGAATTTGACACGTCTACGCCTAGGGTTGACTTACCAAAGCCATTAAAGATCGACCTTAAGACACCATCCCTACTCGGTAGATTTCTGGAAACTCAGAAGGATCATGTTACTAAACTTGCTAGTATCGTCAAAGGAAAACATGGTGAATTAGTATTGCAACAAGGTCAAATCGAAATTAAATGCACCATAGACCGAGATGCAAAAGAGGCTCATCGCCTCTGCAAAGATTGGAAGAAAGATATACAAGATATCATCGGAGGCTGGACAAAAAGATTCAAACAAAGTACCCTGAATGTTGATAAGCTTATTATTCCAAAGATGCGTTCAGAACAGAATAAAGATGAGTTAAAATGTGTATTTCTTCAAGAAGTAAGCTCTGGATTTGAACTATGTGGGGAGACTACATCCATCGCTATAGCATTAGAAAAATTGAAAAATATTCGAGACAGAATTGTACTTGATATGGACAGACAAAACAGAAAAATGAATAAAACAATACGCTTGAAAAAATGGGAATCTAAGTTCTTGCGTTTGAATACTATCGATCAGATAATAAAAGAAAGGTTTGGCGATGTTGATGTTGAGATTTGTGAAAGAGATGGGCAAATCAATGACATGGTTTTGAATGGCGTTCCTGAATCTAGTGAACGAGCACAAGAGTTCTTAATGGAATTCTTAAAAACACATGTCGTTAAAAAAGACAGAATGTCAACCGCCAAATTGGATTTTCTTAAAACCAAACAATGTGAAGAATATATCGAAGAAAACTTCCAGAAAAATGAGCTCAAATGTGCTTGGACTGTAACAAACTGCGAAATCTGTGTCTACTGCAACACTGAAGAGGAATGTGACAAGGCATTGACCGCAATAAATGGTTACATTGTGGAAAATACCATACAGATTCCAGAAGAGTCTGTTGATGTTCTTCAAACAGACAACTGGAAGCAAAAGTGTACAGCCATCAACGCAGAAAACAATGGACTTGTCCAAGTAAAAACTTGCAATAACGTGACAGTAATTAGTATTTCTGAAATCTCGAGAAAAGTAAAAGATAACCTGGAAGCTTATTTGAAGGAAAATATGATTCTGCGTGAAAGCATAACATCAAATGGTGGAACAATTTTATTCATCGGTACTAACCATGAAGTTACAGTTGCAGATATCGAAAAGAAGTATAAAACTGTGAGAATACGATACAAAATAGGGGCTGGCGTGGTATCAATCGAAGGTGCACAAAATGAGTTATCTTCAGCAAAAGCAGACGTCCTAGAGCTAATAAATAGAATCGTTAATAAGAGCATTCGTGTGGATAAATTCGGGATGTCATCGTATTTTCGGAGCTCAGAGGGAGGCATATATCTTGTCCAGCTAGGAAAAAGGGAAGGGTGCATCTTTACAGTTGACGATAAACTGATAAAAGTTGCAAGAGGAGGTAGATTCTCTGATGAAAATGACGCATCGCCTGAAAATTTAAGACAGGTTTATAACATTTTATTAAAATTTAATCAAAAGTTCGAGTATGGCATATCTTAAAAGATAAAACAACCACCGTTAAATAGTTCATACTTAACTATACCAGGTCGTTCAATAAGTTTGCAGCAAAAATGCTCTAATTTCAAAGGATTTTAAGTTATTTTATGTTTTCAATGACTAATTTCAGAGAAAAAATGTTGAAATCAGTTGGTGATATCGATACCAATCCTTTTTTCACATGTCATTCACAAAACTTCTGCTTATTGATTTGTTTACTAACTCCCAGCATATCTTATTTGATTTGTCGGAAATGAGGGTTACTAAGGTAATTTGACTTTAAGGTCGGCGGGGCACTTTACATCACACAATTACCATCACAGAAATCGAGCAATGCTGCAAATAAAGACTTATTTCCCTACTGCATGTATTTGTATTTTTATTCATAGAATAACATATACAATATACATAATATCACAGAAGTTACACAATTTTCCATTATATTCTATTTTTAAGGCATCTCACCACACTAGTCTAATCTAATCTAGCACCCATAATTTCTCTGCCAATTTGCTTATCAATATTACAATAAGATTTTAATCTTTTAAAGGTAGGTCTTAACATCGAGTATTTGCATAGGTACACATATCTTTTGAGTATACTCCACATATTTGTCAGGATAATTCTTCTGTCATTTATACATACCGGTCCTAGTAAAATATTCTGTTTTGTACAAAGTTCTGTCAATTTCTCTAGTAACCAGTTCTTAATGACTACTATCAGTTCCATTATCACTTTACAGTGTTTTTCACATTAATCACATTGCTGGGTTATAAAGTGACAATAAAAGATATATCAAAATACCTTGGAATGGTAGCATTTTCCATGAACTTATTGAACATCGTGGTATGTCACATAAATACAGTATTCATTAAATGTAAAATATACAGCGTTTCAAAAGTGTGATAATTTTATCTTACAGGATGGTCCGGGAGATAATATCAAAGACTCATCGGATATCGAAGGTATAAATAATTTACCATTTGGTAATTATCCCAACGAACGAAGTTCGGTAGGGATAGTGAAGCCCTCCGTCCGTCAGTCCGTCAGTCCGTCCGTCCGTCTGTCCGTCCGTCCGGAAGATCACTCAAATATTAGTTGACGGATTTTCTTCATATTTAGTGGAAAGATGTATATTGATGAATAGTTTTACGCAAAAAAATTGTTCAAGATGGCCGCCACTTTAAAAATGACGGGACTTTTTCGCAAAAATCATAAATTTTTCATTCTAAACCAAAGTAATCAATATTATTGTTTAAAATTTTGGTAGTATATTCGCAACATCTATCTATTTCACATATATTCCGTGTTTTTCATCCTGGCCCCCAGGGGCCGTGTATGGGGGGGTCAGGAAAACAGAAATTTTCGCTAATTTTTAGATCTTTCTGAAGTATAGCTTTATTATACTCAAATGAAAGGCAATTAAGAGTAGATTGTATATTGTATCTTTTTTCTGATTCGAGCCTCGTAAAATTCAAAATGGCCGTCTATTGTACGATTTCGCAATAATTTTTCGATCCCTTCAAAGTATGGCTATATAATACTCAAATTGAAGGAATTTTGGAGTAGATCACAATTATGGTAATATTTTTCAGATTTGTACCTCAGAAAATTCAAAATGGATTTTTTCAAGATGGCCACTGCTTTAAAAATGACTGGACTTTTTCGCAAAAATCATAAATTTTTCATTCTAAACCAAAGTAATTAATATTATTGTTTGAAATGTTGGTAGTATCGCAACATCTATCTATTTCACATACATTCAGTGTTGACCCCCAGGGGCCGTGTATGGGGGGTCAGGAAAACAGAAATTTTCGCTAATTTTTAGATCTTTCGTATAGCTTTATTATACTCAAATGAAAGGCAATTAAGAGTAGATTCCAAATATTGTATCTTTTTTATGATTCGAGCCTCGTAAAATTCAAAATGGCCGTCTAATGTACGATTTCGCAATACTTTTTCAATCCCTTCAACGTATGGCTATATAATACTCAAATTGAAGGAATTTAGGAGTAGATCACAATTATGGTATTATTTTTCATATTTGTACCTCAGAAAATTCAAAATGGCTGCTTTGCAGGAATTCGCAATTCTAAAATCTAAATTTTTCAATTTTAACCAAAGTAATGAGTATAATTGATTGGAATTTGGTAATTGATATTTTGTTCGTTGGGATTTGCTACTCCGCGGAGTTGCCATCATCTAGTTTATATTGATTTCAATTTTTTAAACCCTCGAAGGGGGAATCCTTTAACTCTCAAACGTTATCTTGCTCAAGCGACACGATACCGCGAGAGTAGTTGAGAAGTTGTGTATCTCTACAACAAGGGTTGCCCTAGCCTTGCCCAAGTCGGTCTCTTTTACTAATCTTGATTGACCGCCTTGTACCAAAGAGAAAGCCACGTGCTTTACCCACAGTTTGTTGATGTCGGTAAAATCTGACCAATCAACGACGGCCCTGTAGCGTTAGCTCATTATTATGCACGGTCAAAAACAAGTACACTTTTCATCGGGACTTTTCACGAACAAATCTTGCACAGTCTGAGCACAAATTCTTCATGAAAATACAAATATTTTATCAGATAAATATCAATGAGAGTTTAGTGGATGCCGGGGCATTGATCGGATAACCAAAGGTGAGAAGATTTCAACAATAAACGTTAAAACGATCGCTGAACATGTAGGCTGAGATTCAATCACCGATCGATCGACGACAACATGAGCTATATTGACAAGGTCTTCGTGCATTTTCATCGCCGAAATCAGTTTTCAATCAACATTGAATCGCATGATTTAATTTATATTAATGACTCTTACCTTCCTATGTACATTTAATTACATTATATATTGTAACTCTAACGAAACACTCGATCAGATCATTGAATTTCAAGTCGTAGATGGGAAGTTTGTTTTGTTTATGCAGCTCAACCTGATAACGTTTTGATTGGTCATTCAGCCTGAAGTCACACGTCGTGTCCACGCGATATCTGTAAATCAAAAAGGTTTCGCGATACCCCTGATAGCGTAGGTATTATGGAAATCTCGAAACCGTTGAATATTTCAGCATAATAACAGAGGAGATGTATTGAATGGTACAAGGCGGTAATAATTCAAGATCAGATAAGTAAAAAAATACTGACTTGGGCAAGGCCAGGGTTGCCCAAAAGATTGAAATTTTTGCTCTCATGTCATCAATTCTTATTATTTTGGCATCATATTCCACATTGATTTGAACATTTGTTGATTTGAACATTTCTTGATAAGAAAGATTGGTACCTGCCCCGCCCATCCCTCTGCGTTTATAAATCCCCTATATGTATAACTAACGGGTGTGAACTACGTCATCATTTGTTTCGAAGCCATCCATTCATACGGAACAATCGCGTATAAAACGCTGTTCATAATTGAGTGAATACTTTATCTTGATTAGACGATAGTTATTGCAAAAGAATAAAATATATATTTAACATGAAGTCATATCATTATCAATTTACCTTATAAGCAAAAAGATTGAGGCGAAAATAACTCAATCTTGGTGAAAGGATCGTTTGATAAGATCGCTTAAATGTACATTTCTATATACGAGGGTTGTCCCAGAAGTAATGCACTATATGCTCTAACTTTATCAATACTTTATATTTTTCCATGAATTTTTCAGTAAATGTTCCATAGAGACATCTTGATTATTTTATTCATTTTCATGTTGACTGATAAAACTATATTGATGTTATAATTAAATCAAGCTGGTGAGTTGTGGTATTGTGGGGCAGGTTAAACAGTCACGTCAAAAGGAATAAAATATTGAAAATATTAAATAATTAATCAACAAATACCTTATTGTGTAGCAATAAGAAGTATGCTCAAATATACATTTTAAGATACTGAATTACTATTAGCACATCCTAGATTTAATGGATGTATATTGCACAGTGTCCAATGTCACATTTTTTCAAAATATTGCCTTTTGCAGGTTATGCACTTTTGATGCCTGTCAGGTCAAACACTCTTAGCAATTTCTTCCAATCTGACTTGTGGAGGTTTTGCCTCCCATGTTTGGAGTCATCCAGCATCCAGTCATCATTTTTAAACCTCTTTTGCCACCTCATTATTGTAGTTCTATGTAGTGTTTACTCCTTTTATACTTTCTTCACGTTAACATAAGTTTGTGTGGCTGTGAGTCCAAGCGAAGTATGAAATTAGGCCATTAAACGCTAGGCCTTCTGTTATCAGGTGAGAATTGCAGCCAATTTTGCAATTTCTTGACTGTGACTGAATTTGAATTGTGACTATTGAACTGTGGTATTATTACATCACAGTGCTAAGTGTAATTATTTGTACTTGGTTAACAATATACTGAATAAATTTAACAATTTCCCAAACATTTTGATCATTTAAAAGAAATAAATATTAATAAAATAACACTTTGAATGTTTTCATAATTAGAAAAAATGGTACCTGCCCCGCCCACCCCTACCACCACCATGTTGCTATGGCAACCATTTTAAGACTTAATATGAATGTTTGATGCTGAAACTTCAGGATATAACAGTTTAAACTTCAATAGTATTATACACGAAATTTCAGCTGAATTGAAGAATATTAAAGAAGGTAAGAGTAAATAGTGCATTACTTCTGGGACAACCCATTTGTGGAATGTCAAATTTCAAATCACTTATACTCACATAAGTTGTGCTTTCTCGTATGGGAGAATTCTCTCTAATAACAAGGAATGTATCTGTCTCTGTCGATGTTCCATTTGTATCGATTATAATGATTCCTAAATATCCGTTGTAGTTCAACAAAAATATACAGAAATCGGCATGCATACACCGACTGCTTGTCAACCATTCATTTTTCTAAATACCATTGATATGTTTAAACGAAAATCTAATAAATTGATACATCGTAAAGTTTTCAAGATATAAAGGGAATAAACAAAACAAAAAACAATAAAGAAATAAATACAGAATATTACATATTAAATATTAAAAACCCAAAATATGTTTATTTAACGCAGGTCACCTTGTCATCAATGGACGCGTTCATATCATCTTGGAGAAAGGCAATATGGTGGATCAAAAGGTGATATTGTTTTTACTTTTATCTGCTGTTTACAACAAATTGTTTAATAATGGTTTAAAAGGTACTGACTATTACTTCAATTCATCATCTATTGAATGTATTATTTCTAGGTGGATATCTTGGTTAATTCAACGAAGAAATCACTCGATCTGTCAACGGGTGTCCTGTCAAAATCTATCTTAAAGGTTGCTGGTAGAGAAATTCAAGAGGAATGCCTTAAAAAGAAACCTAACGGCATTGAATATGGCGAGGTCTGCTCAACCAGAGGATATAACATAAAAAGCTGTGCTGGGGTTTACCACTGTGTTTGTAAATCTTATAAAGATCCCGAGTGTGAAAAGGTACTTACAATATTAATCTGATCATTTCGCCATGTATATACGTTAACCTTCAATTCTACAACCATAACAAATTCAAAACATGGGAGGAAGTCTTTGAACTTCCTTTGCACAATTTGGTTTACGATTTTTTTCTAGGAATGCCCAAAGAAGTGGCATTATGTCGAATGATGAACACGCTGCAAATGCTCCCTTGAAAATACAACATACGCACTACATATCACATTTGTTTGTTCAACGTTATCTTTAGATGTTTATGATTAGTGTCAGATAATGTTAAAATACTGAAACCTTCATTTCAGACAATCCGCCAAATCATAAATGCATGTTTGAAAAGAGTAGCAGAAAAAAGACACAAGTCAATTGCATTCCCGGCTCTTGGCAGTGGAGGTCTATGTGTTCCAAAGGAAAAGGTGGCAAAATGGATGTGTAGTGAAGTCATCAAGTTTACAGAGAACAATAAAGACTCTACACTCGAACGCGTTGTCTTTGTTGTGTATCACAAGGACATGGACATTTTTCAAGTAAGTTTAAGCACCACTCACTCAAGAGTATGAAATATGTATCAGCTGGGTCCCGTTCTTGGACACATTCGTAAGACATTCCTAATTGTAAATTGTTTAGAGCTAGATTTACGAATTGGTTGACGCTATATTCCACCCTTGTCAGGACACAAGATTTAATTAAATCAAAGTCGTACGTTAAGTTGTATAAAGATAAAGATTGAAGCAAAAATAGAAATAGAAATAAGTTAATGGTAATTTGCTTTGTTGCCCTTACCCCTCTCTGATTAAAAATATCACAAATTACACTAAGAAGACACTTGTAAAGTTATGAACGGATCAGAGGTGCTATTAAATCTACGAACGAAAGCAGGCATGACGTCACTATTTTCATAACTTTACGAATTGTTCGTATAACTTTTACCTATCTTATCAAAATTCAACTTTAACAAATTTAACATTGAACTCTTGTTACTACGAACGGTACAAGAACAGACACCAGTTTAGCTAATTTTTGTGATATACATGTATGTACATATTATATAATATATGTATTCCTTAAATCCCATTTGAATATCTTTTCAAAATCAGCTAAAATGTAACAAAACATTTATTGTTAATAAATATTGTCAAATGTAAAATATGTCACATCATACTTTTGCTTTCTTTTTAGGCATTTGAGAATGAAATAACAGTACAAAAACGCTTGCAGAGATCAAGTCAAAATCCGATGATATCAGGGGGTAATAATTCACCTTTATGGAATGCTATATTTTTCAGCTACATACCAGAATGTTCAATAAGTTCACGGAAAATGCTTTAATTTCAAAGGTTTCGAACATGTTTCGTGACATTATTAGATCAATTTCAAAATATATCCGGTTTTTGATTCCGTTCAACCAACTGGAGTCATCATGGAAACTTATTTGAATGACTGATGTTTACACTTCTTGTATTCTTTCGTATCCTTGATGTTGAAACTTTACCTTCTTCTTGTTCAAAGCAGCAATGTCAAGGATTGCCTCGTCATAGCGTCTTTGCCATACATTTTCCTCATTTGCTTTATCATTTTCTATATGGTTTGCCCAGAAAGACGTAGACTTTAGTGCCTTTTAGTGCCAAACCGCGCCAAATGGCGCGGTCACGTGGGGACTCTAATTAGATGCTTGTAAAATGCCAGGTAAGCACAAAATGACCGGTGTCCATGCCTAAAACTACTTAGGAGTAATGTATCTGATGTTTAAGTGAAACACTTTCATATTTATACGATATATTACCTCCCGACAGTGATTTTGAACCTCAGCAGTCACCTAGGCCATCTACAAGTCGTGGGCGATCTATAGTATGTGGGCGATCTACATGTAGAGTGCGTGGGCGATCTAGGGGGCGTGGTCCTGGACTCTTATGTAGTAATATTTATTTTTTTCACCACTACTAAGAATATATGCTTATAAGAGGGAACAAGAAGACCAAAAAGGTATTGATGGTGTATCTTTTTTCGAGATAATTTTGCGATAATTTTATTTTTATTTTTCCATGTTTGAACATGTCATATACTCTAATAAAACCCTTCAACTGTACAAATATGGTTCTAAATGATAGTTCATCATGTAAGCTTTCAAAAAATATATACTTTTATGGGGGTACGGGCTTGTATAACACTACTTTAAGTTATTTGAAGTCGGTAACCATCAAATTTTAGAAAATTTCAGAAAATTAAATCTTTAAATTCAGTTCTGTACTGTGAAAACTTCTCTTTGAAGTTGTCGGCCATCTTGGGAATCTCTCAAGTGTGAATTCATTTGATGGTGTCATCAGTGCAATTGTGCATAATGGAGCATCATATATCTGTGTTTGCGCTGTTATTTAGTTGTATTACATTAATGTAATTTTAAAGCACAAAAAATATTGTAGAAAAATAAGCATTTGTTTGCACGAATTGCTAGATTTCTGTAATGATAAATTGTGTGACGTAAAGATGCTCACCTACACGTAAATTAAAGATACTGCTATCTTACAAAATAACAACAATATGTTTCATGGATGTAAAGGTAGACTTTTATGAAAAATATTAAAAACCTTTGAAATGAAAGCATTTTTCCTCTCATTGTATATGACTTAAATAATTGTATTGTCACCCAAACGTGTTTAATAAGAAAACAAAGTCCTGATATGACAGACTAGTACATGGAACAGTTTTTACCCTTTTAAGTTACCCATTTATTCTTCATCATATTATACATTGTGCAGTGTTTTCCTTTCATGGTAAAAATGTATATCCAAAAATCTATTTACCCGAAATTTATCGATCAAACGGACAAAATATGAAGGTCTACCAAGTTCTTTGAATCACTGGTCACAACTGTTTAGGAGACGGGTTGACAAAATTGAATTCAAGTAAGATTTGGAATGGGGAAAGTTGGTTCTGGTTTAAACTCCAAATCGAGTTGCGCAAAAAAAGATTATCTCAAATAGGTTTTAGTCTTATTTCGAGTATTGCCTCCCCCTCCACCTATCTCCTTCAGTACCAAAGGTGTAGAGAAGCGGAAGTGTGTTGTGGGAAGGGGGTCACAAAAGGTTTACCAAGACTTACCAGTTTCACATTTTTTTGATTTGTTGATTGAAAAATTACGTTTTCTCAGATCATTGTCATGTGACATAAACTCGCCTCCATAAGTTTGACAACCTTAGCTCCCCCGTTGAACTATGTGTAAAAGCCTCCTAACATTTGAATTTGTATTTACTTAACCTGCGATTAAAATACTTATACTATTGATGGAAACGTAATTTATTTCCAATACCACTTAATGTTCTCAATTTTTTTCCTTTATTACAATAAGTTGAAAATTGATGATACATTTGTTTTGGTATACGTTGTCTTTCAAATAGCCCCACAAGAAGAAATCGGGGATTCTACTATAACTGAAATTTAATTCTACTGAAACTGAAACTTAAATCAATCTGTCAATAAACTATGTCCCTGGTCACATATAGGGATCATTGGACCAGTTTATGGTTATAACCATGTTCGTAATGAATGAAATCAGTATAATATGGATATTGGGTTTTTTACTATATATTCAAAGGAGCAAGTTACATTCCAAACAAGGACAAAGACTACAACTCGTCCAGTGAGAGTGATGATGATCAGAATCCAAGTGATACGAAGAAAGATTACTACCGGGGAAATGATCCTGATATGGTCATATTGAAGTCCGGACAATGCATTGGGCTTATTGAGGGTGAACTTGCCATTTCAAAGGTTTGATACTTGATTTCCAAAAGGGAAACACATGCCAATCATAAAACATGCTGATGACCATAACCACTAGTATAAAAGCATTACATATTGTCCCAATATTATCTATTGCTCAAAGAAAATGTGCCAGATGACTCGCCCGCCTAAGTCATGAGGTGCAGGGTTCAGGTGATATCACATTGTCTTAAATAGAAATTCAAAATAGCATTATATATAACAATATCGCGTACAAACTGGGTATAACTGATATGTCATAAACTTTTTTCCATTCAGATGATGATCATATATCATGTCGTAAATCTATTCAAAATAGGTTGATGTCATCGTAAATTCAACAAATACACAATTAAAGCTTGATCGAGGTGCAGTTTCGTCTTCTCTCCTACTTGCGGCTGGATCTGAACTTCAGGATGAATGCAGGATGAAATATCCACAGGGACTAAAGCATGGCGAGATAGCAGTAACTAACACCAAAGGGCGGCTACATTGCAAGCACTTGTATCACGGAATTTGTAGAGATTGGAATACAGACAAATCTGCATCCAAAGAGGTGTGTGAATCATAAGCATATATCCACTCACTTTGAATTAATATTTACTATTTGTGATGAACAAACACGAGGAGCACACGCGTCTCGAACTCGCAGCCTTGTGGTTACGGCGCCCAATCGCCTAGCTCAAACGTGCCGGCGCTCAAGCCCTCTCGGCCAACTCGACTTCTGAAATGCTTGTGAAATACTTCTAAAATCGAGTTGCAAGTAGATTTATTTGATTTCAGTCTGTGGAAAATATTATACGAAAATGTTTGGAGATCGCGAGCAGTTACAACGTTAAAAGCATGGCTTTCCCAGCCCTTGGGACGGGAAAATTGGGTATCCCTGGTGATGTTGCCGCTTTTATGATGTACGATGGGATTAAACGCTTCTTCGAAGAGAAACCTAAAAGCTCTATAAAGACTATCAACGTTGTTGTGTACCATAAAGATCATTCCACTATAAATGTAAGTTAATGGATATACAGGGTGGTCCAAAAAAAATTGGAACATTTGATAATTGAACTCAAAATCGTTATTTTTTATCTAAAATGCACCAAAATTTTACTGAGTATCGTTCAATCACTTATTTATCTGATGTAAAGTTTATAGGTACTAATAACAAAGTTAATGCATTAAACTAGACAATGTTTTATACGACCCCTCTTCTTCTGAATTACAATTTGAAGCCTGGGACTCAGTTTTGAAATGATTCATTCACTTTGCTGTTCGTTTGATTTTGTCCAAGCCATCTTGATTAAAAAATTCAGCTTGAACAAACTACTTATATGTTTGCCTTGGAAGATCAAATATTGAACATATTCAACATTTTTTTACCCAAATCGGTGGGTATTGAGCATATTTTGATGGCTATTGTTGGATATATTACTGATTGAATATTCACCCAGAAAGAGGCCAGGGCAGTCTGTTTTGACTGGTAAAAGAACCCCTCCCCCTTTCTTGTTCTAATATGAATAATATTCATTGAATATATCAATATATGTATATCAATATCATAAAGGAGTTTCCCAGAACACAAATGATATATTATATGTGCTTAGAGGTGGTCTTTAATAAAGCCTTGTAAATAACTGGTCAGTTTCCCTTCTACTGAAAAGTGGAAACAATGATTTTATCAGTTTGGTAGCTGTATGGGTTATGCAATCACTCACCTTTGACATGTTCTTTCTTTCCTACTCTTAAATAAAAGTAATGATTTTGGGTATTCTTAAGTTGACAATAACACAATAGTTTTTCAGTAAACCAGAGATGTTAATACCTCAATGTCAACTAAATATGATTTTATAAAATGTGTATAGCAATCAACATGTTCATTAAAGCTTTGAAATAAAGAATACTTGAAAAAGTAGCTGTGAAATTGACAAGTGTAAATTTAAGAAAAGGGGGTCATATCAAACATTGACTAGTTTAATGCATTAACTTTGTGGTTTGCACCTGTAAACTTTACATCAGAGAGATAAGTGACTGAACTATGCTCAATAAAATTTTGGTGCATTTTAGAGGAAAAATAAAAGTTTTGTGTTTAATTAACAAATGTTCCAATTTTTTTTGGACCACCCTGTACACTTTTCGATTTGAGGAATTACTAGACTTTGGATACGATCAATTATAGACTAATATACCTTTTAAACCTTAAACTGCTGTAATTGTATATGTGAGCCTTGTTCCAAAACTATTAAAAGCACGTTAACTAATGCATTATTGAAGATGCAAATAAAAAATATATCATTACAGGCTTTCAGAGCCAAAAAGGATGAGCTGCTCGAGTCCACAACATCACCTTTTTCAAGTCAACCCCGTCCCTCTCATAAGGACAATCGATATCCAAGTGGGGAGGGAAAGCGTCGATTTGGGAGGCATACTAAATATAGAGAGCGCAAAAATGAGGCTGGTAAAATGATATGCAGTTTGTTGTAATAATATCCGCCATTATCAGAAAACATTGATCGAAAACGAAATGAGGTTAATATTATTTGCATGATTTGATCTGCTAATTTGCAAAGTCTTTTTCAGTTTACTCCCTGCTTTTTTCAGATGAGACAAGTTTAAAAACTATCAAAGACGGACATGAGGTGAAATTGGGAGGAATCTATCTGCAGGTCATTACTGGTGACATAACAAATTCACCAACAGATGCCATTATCAACAGTACTAACCATAGGCTAGATTTAAGCAAAGGTAATGTTAAACATGTCCTTCCCATTATTTAGGGCAATACCCGTATCAAATGAGTTTGAATAAAAAAAATAACAACTGAGATATCATAACATGCTAATCTTTGCAGGATTAACTTAATTCTTACAAAAAGTGAATGTCACAATGTTATAAAACCCTGCTTTTTATCAAGATATATAATCAATTATCACTTTGTATACCAGCGTTAGCTCTAAATAATTGTACTGCAAATTACAGGATGAATAAAATTGATTTAACAGGACGATGGACATAAATATCTTTACACGATAAGTTAAAAGTTCAAGTTTCATATATGCTTTTATAAAAATACGACATGTATGTAATGGTTTGGATAACTAGACTTTGGAAATTGAACAAGTTCAATTTCAGACTCCAGATTTAGACCTTTTTTAGCCGAGTCATCCAGAATAAGCCGAGTCATTCAGAATAAGCCAAGTCATCCAGAATAAGCTGAGTCATCCAGAATAAGCCGAGTCATCCATAATAAGCGGACGGATGGATGGATGAATGGATGGATTGATAGGAAGGATAGGACAGAATAGGAAGGAAGGATAGGATAGAATAGGAAGGAAGGATAGGATAGAATAGGAAGAAAGGATAGGATAGGATACGATAGAATAGGAAGAAAGAATAAGATAGGACAGAATAGGAAGGATAGGATAGGATAAGAAGGAAGGATAGGATAGGAAGGATAGGAAGGATAGGAAGGAAGGATAGGATAGGATAGGATAGGATGGATGGATATGATAGATGGATGGATTTTTCAATATTGTCTGCACTACTCTTGACTTTCTATGAGGCTACTATCATATTGATTTTTTTGGAAAATTCAAAACGTCATAACTTTTGAACCGGAAGTCGGATCGAAATTTGATTTGCAGATTCGGATTCCTGGGAAAATTCTACCCTTAGTTCATATGTCATAGGTTGAATTTGGAGAACTTTTTGTCGTGACCTACTTTGTGGACGCCATATTTAAAAATTGGTAAGAGTAATCAAAAATCTAATGTCATATCTTTGCTTCGGCTTTTTCTAAGCTACATGATGAAAAAAAGATTTAGGAGTTACGATAAACAACGACGAAGATAAATGACAGAATGTTGAAAATGTAAGATTTGACCTAGTTCTTGACCTTTGACCTAGATAAAAATTTGACCCAATTTCCGAGAAACTACATCTAGGACCTAAATGGACCATATATAAGACTTGACTCAATATCTTTTAGTTAACGAGAAAACTGAGAAAGAATAATAAAGAATAAAAAGAAGAAGAAGAAGAATACTGACAAAAACAATAGACTCCAGATTGAGATCTGGAGTCTAATAATAGGATATTATTCAAATAATAAAGTAGTTTTAATTTGAGATATGGAATGTATAGCTCGGGAAAGTACCAATATGAATTAACACAGTTTTCACAATTGAATTATATCTAAATGCAGGTTTTGACATATGTGAACGCTTCTTTCCTTAACCATCCACAACCTTTCAAACATTATTTCAATTCGAAAATAGCCATTATGCGCAATACACATTGAAGCATCTGAATGACCTTTTATCATGTGCAATTCTCGAAGCGATTATACTCGTCTGACTTGTGTCGTGATTTAACTAAATAAAAGCAAGCTATGTAAATGGGACACGTCAGGGTGTCTCGCAATAGATCAGATATAATACATGGCTTCGCTAAACAGATATATCATACCATAAACCCCCAAAATATAAGAAGCGTTGTATTTATATCTTAATTCACAAAAACATATTTCCATACATGAAATGATTATATTACCTGATTTTAATTCTCCATTATGAGGTTAACCTATTGCAAAATATAATACCTTCTCACAGCTCTGACCGATGATAAAACTTGCCAGTTGTCCCTACCTTGAGGTAACCGGAATGACATTAATGTCTACCCGAGATTTTCACACAATATTGACGAAATTTATAACTGAAATCGGGAAGTTAAACTTTGAGATACACAAACAAAATTGCCTGTCAAAACTATTTTCCGAAAGTGTTCTAGAGACTCTAATCTACTTGGTCAAGGTTTTGTTTAAAAATTCATGGCCTTAATTTGTATGTAATGGTGTACGTATACAGAACACGCAAGCAATTGCCACATTGAAAGATTCTATTACAGTTTGAACATTTGAGTACATGTCACGTACGTCAGTGTTTTTTGTGAAGGGTTTCATATCGGGATCGAATGTACTTTACTCAAGGGCTTATTTAATACCCGGGGCATAGTTGTGTACCAAACGAAACGAGAAACGACACGACATCCGGGGCTTTGTTTGGTCTTCATTAGACAATGGTGTATAGAGGGGGAGGTTTTCTCATACCTAGGTACCTTTTTCTGTACCGTTTTGCGGTTATTTTACTCTATGGCATTGCAATCCGTTCACATCATTAGCTACATAATTGATTAACTTAAATATATGATATGTAAATAAGGGTTAACACTAACAGAATAAACAGGAAAATGTACTTGAAGTGGCGATTGTGTTTTCTGTCAGTCAGTCTTACCCCCCTTACCCAGCTCTATAGCGCAGTATAAGGTGACCTGATTATGCAAATGAGAAGACCCCGTTGGTTTCTCGTCAGCGCAATCAAAACGGAAGCGGACAATCTTCGTTTTAACTGTTGTATCCGAACGGTTCGTGACCGTAATTCACTAGACTATCGAAAATAGGTTACGTTATAATGATAGATTGTTTTTACTTACCAATCATCAACATGTGCTGACATATTCAGCTCTGGACTTTATGTCCATAGGGGGGTAAGACACATCGTCAGAAAAAAATTTCAAGTCATCACACCCCGATCATTTATTGGCTAATTCAAATCGGATGCGGTAAAAAACCGAACGCAAATTTGCGAACGATCCGGGTATTACGTTCGCCCTTGCTTTACTTGTTTACATGTACAGAAAACATTGCATTGTGAAAGTTTCCGAGTTTTCTCTATGCTTGTATTGTCACATAGAGGGCTCCGACTTTAAAACAAACCCGTGCCTAAATTGAACATTGAACTTTGGGAACATTTAAATAGTTATGTCTCCCAGATTTCAGTCATAAACTTGAGGTAGACGATGTTATTCCTGGATGCCCAAACATGTCTGAACCACGTAGATGCTTGTGCGATCTTGATTGGACATCATAGTGTAGAGAAATATTAGCTTTATATCCAAAGAACATGTGTCAGTTTCTATAGATTTTATCAGACAAAATATAATATATTGACAAAACTTTGATAAAGACGTTTCGTATTTTAGGTGCAGTCGCAAGAGCTATCTCAAAAGCTGGTGGTGATAAACTGAACAATGAGTGTAGAAAAATAGGTAAATAAATGTTCATCATTTACAACAGGATCTTAAGAGGTTCTGGACAAATCATTTGATTCTGGACTTGACATATTTTTTTTCCAACGAAATCACATCCAAGGGTTGAATTTTTATTGGATATTTAGAGAGCGAGTCCTGTATTGATTTCAATAAAAAGGTTAAAATAGAACGCTATTTGAGAGTTAATCTTATACTTTCATTACATTGATAAATTAAGGCAAATTCTGAAAAATTTTAAAGTGCATTTTTTATGAAATATTATCCAAGTATTTAGATGAAACGGTCTTATTTAAATACAAATCATAACATGATGATATTTTTTCATAAAATATTTCTTCAAGAAATTCAATTGAAGGCTCAAGATAAAACGAGCTAATTTAGGTGAAAACCCTTACATGATGATGTGTTTTCATGACTTCTTTCATAAAATTCCATCAAGGGGTGAAAATAAAATGATCGAATTTAAGTGATTTAAGGATCACGAGGATAGGTTTTCTTGGATATTTTCTATGAAATCCCATCCAGTGGTCAAGGTAAAAATTTTATTTGGTATATTTGGTCACGTGTTCGAACCCATAGAACCATATAGGAACGTCATTTTGAATGTTACGTGATAAATCCATATAAGGCTTTTAGAACAATGTGGGGAAAGATGAGGGGAAACCCCTGACACCTGTTCACGATTTTATCCGAACGTTCATCGGATCATTTCGGTTTTTATGCACTTCATTATTTTACCGAAGTTTGCCGATTCGATTCGTCGTATTTCGGAATATTGGGGACAATTTTATACTCCATTGGGAGTATTTTTAATCTACTTCTTATTACGAAGATTCCCGAACCTTGTTCGGATTAATCCGGATTTTCTGACCTACTTCATCTACCGAGATTTAACGAGTTTACATTCGGCTCATTTCGGAATCCTGGTGACAATTTTATACTCCATTGGAGTATTTTTGATCTACTTCTCTGGATTTTTGATCTACTTCTTATGACGAAGATTCCCGAATCAGTTCGGATTAATCCGGATTTTCTGACCTACTTTATCTACCGAGATTTAACGAGTTAACATTCGTCTCATTTCGGAATCCTGGTGACAATTTTATACTCCATTGGAGTATTTTTGATCTACTTTTTCTGGATTTTGCCCTACTTATTATAAGTTGACAGCAAGCAAATCAAAAAGTTCGCCATGAACGGGTTTCGATCGACTAACCTAGAGAGTGGAAGCTAAACACGCTAGCCATGAGGCTAACGTTCACCTGTGTGAGATGATAAAAGTATCATATATTTATACCGAGCGTCAATTTAGAATGATCTTCGCTTTTGACTCCACTTAGATACAACTCGTCAGTTGTATCCAGAATAGGTGAACGCCTATGGTGTTAGTGAATAACCAAATCCCAGGCGAGTGGTTCGTATCCCACCGTGATATGTTATTTTTGCTTTATTAATTCGACAGAAAGGAGCAAGGTGTAGGTTTGAAAACAAGACGTACGTTTATTTCAATACAGTTTTAGAAACATTAACCTCTGATAATTGAAGGATTTCCACTTCTGAAGCGCGACTAGATCTAAGAAGTTCATTAATCAAGACAGTGTAAACCTTTTAGATATATGTTAGACAATGTACACGCCCCGTGTGGAATCAACTAAATGTTACATTTTGGATTTCATTGAGATCCTGTCATAGTCCTAAAATTTATTTTTCTGGAACATCATTTTTTCAACACTGATACAAATTTCCCTGACATTTCCATGACATGTCTACAGTTTCAAAATTCCCGGACTCTTTGGCCCTTTTTGACCTTATTTTAAAATTCTCTGACATTTCAGGCACTTGGAAAATTAAATCAAAACCCTGACATTTCCAGGTGTGTACGAACGCTGGAATTATTCTTAAAATATCCTTCAAACAAAAGGGGAAAATGCTATGCACAAATACTCTAATTTAGTTTGTATTGTAATGCGTTGTATTACATTGCATTGCATTGTATTGTGTATTTATTTGAGTGTCCGTTGACGGTAAAGAAGGCATTTAAAAGTTATTTGTGAAACTTAATAAACTTAATAAACAATACTTTAACAGTATTCTGTTATGGCAAAGTATATTTCATTTTTTCTCTTGTTCTCTACAATCTGCGTTGAGGACACTGAAGCATATGTCTGTATTTTGTTGGTGGGGAACAGCGTATCCTATCGTTCACGGAGCAAATTCAACTCTCGTTCACGAGTACCTTGTTTTTGGGCTCTTGTCCCAAAGATAACGATTGTATAAGGTTGCATAATCAGGATTATGAGCTTTCATGTTCTCATAGTTACATCTGTTGTAAAACGAATCTTGTCGCAACCTCTGCGAATCACGACAGCATAACATTTGAATCACGTTGACATCATTGCAAAATTAGGCTAAATATGCTAAGTCAAGACGTTAATTAGCCCACGAAAGTTCATGGGTAACTTGAGAACTACAAAATACAACCAAATACTTTTCGAACGTACAATAGCAATATTTCTCACCTAACGTCTTCATAGTTTTAGGAACGTATTTTAAACGCATGATAGCCAAATATATCAAGATACTATATCTGCCTAAATGAAGTTATCTAGTGTTTACAAAGTTTTGAAATATATTATATCCAGATCCATCAGAAATTAACTTATCCATTTACATTACTTTACTAGTTCTAGTATCTTGCATGACTCGTTCATAAGAATTCTTTAATTCTACCTCGTTCCCAATACGTCCTCAGACAGACAAGAAATTGAAGTCACACCCGTTTGTTTGCGTGGCATATTTATACGTATACGCACTTTCTCTGATTATTGTCAAACAAATACATTTCAGGAGAAGAACATAAAAAACAAATGCCTGAAACGAATGCCGAAACATAAATCCCAAGTGATTAAGTATAGAATGTTTTATTCTTTTACGATTTGATAAGAGACCGAGACTAAGAAATTAAATGCGACGAAATATTTTGACAACGTAATTTGTATACTGTTTTATTCTTAAAGTTCTATGCGATAAATTATTTTATCTGTTTCAAAATGTTTCATTTTATTTTGCCTATATAAAAGAGATTGAAGAAGATAAGATAAACTGTTCCGTAATATATATTGTGTTTTAATAACCTTTTTTTAGAATCACAATGTAAAATAAATCTCCCGTTCCTGCCATTCTGGTAACGCCATGCAATGGATGCAATTCAAAGTGAGAGAGAGATCTATGAATAACAGAATGCGTCCATGCCATTAATTTGGCCAAATACATGGCATGAAACTGACGTAAGTTTAAGTAACCTACGCCCCCCGCTTTCTCTGGTAAATTATGACTTTATTTTTCGGAGTAATGGGTTTCGGACAACTGGGTTTCGGAGAACTGGGGTGTACCCGATTACGCTTTGCACGCCGCTTTAAAATCCCGATGTCTCCAGAGGTAGTTTAATCCGGTAGCCGACAGGCGTTTCTTGCATTATTGAATACAAGCTAACCTTATATTCGCGAATGCAACTAACGCCTTCCGGCTACCTGATTAACCCAGTATAATATGACCAAGTCATTTAAATATGAATGGAATAGTGGTAGGTACTATTCGTATTGACATGAGTTTCCAGTAAAATAATAGGTTAATCCGGTAGCCGACAGGCGTTAGTTGCATTTGCGAATACAAGCTAAGACTATGATTTGGGAATGGAAGATTTCAGCTTCCGGATTAACCTACCATTCTATGGGCGACTCATTTAAATATGAAAAGAACCTGACAATATTCCATTGATATTTTAATGAATTGCCCATAAAATAGTAAAGTAGGTTTATCCGGTAGCCGACAGGCGTTAGCGGCATTCGCGAATACAAGCTCCTTTATTTCATAATTTGGGAAATATATATTTTCACAATATTGAAATAGATGGTGGTTCAAAGTGGAATACATATCATACAAGTGTCACATATATTTTTAGTGCATATATGGTCTGTCTTTGCATGACTTTGTAGAACATATCAAAACCCTGGGATCCACAGGGTAACAGTAAGTACATTTCGTTAGATCTTCCGAAGTTCATGCTTCAAAGTTGTCAAAGTTGTAAAAGGGTAATCCTTTTTTGAGTACGAAAGCGTACTTTTTGTTCAATAGCCTTTCCCAGCTGCTAATCTTTTGAGTGCATCGTGCATTCAACGAATTGTATTCACTTATTAACCAATCAGTGCCAGGAACAAAATGCACGCTTACTTTTTGGGCTAAGTTTAGTGTTTTATGAAGCATGCTACATACAAATGTTACGCTTTTGCTCATTTACTTTGAGAACTATCTATAGGTACACATTACCAATTGACTCCTAGATTTGAGTGAACAAGTATCTCGTATTTTTCATTTTTCGATATTTTGAGATTTGTTGGCTGATGAGTAACTTGATATTTTATGTCTAAATATATTAAAGTGGTTAATAGTAATAGTTTTATTGTACACCATAAACTGTTAACGTTTTAGAATTGGGACACAATATATGATTTGATAATAGAACAATACATGTACATGTCTTACTCTAAACTCGGTGGTTTGTTTGTTAGTATGTTTTCTTAACAGCTCAATAACTGTTGTATTAATAAGGCGTTATACTATGAAAAAAAGATTGAACGATGTAGGCATAGGCAGAGGGAGTATCACACTACCCTACCACGTGAACACATTTAAAAATAATACAGGGTACAGTTAAGTTGCAAATAGAGCGGGTATTCTTTGTCCTTTTCCATAGGACTTTTCTGGTGATAGTGCGTTGCAAACTGCTCGATGAATCTATACAATGTAAAATCTAGTATTCCTCCAGAACTATGGAAATAAACAAAGGTCCTCCATTTGCAACTTCACTGTAGCCTGTATTCCTTTTAAAGAAATACGGGCCACAGTATTGGGGTATAGTAGTTTGATTTTTCAATATATCACTAATCTAGCTTCTTTCCTTGAAAAAACATGAGTTTTGATGTACGTATATCAAACAT